GGTTCCGCTGCGGCGGCCCAGGGGACCGTGATGGAAGGCGCCCTGAGTGTCCGCCAGGTAAGCGGGCCTCGCTGCGGCGCGTTCCCAAGCGGCGGCTTCATCCAGCTGTTTCCCCCCCGTTGGTTGTTTGAACGTTCTCAGATTGCGGCGTTTAATCTCTCCCTTCCCTTTTCTCGGTGCTCTTTAGCGTGATTTGGAAAGTTGTTACCGAGGAGACGTTTCCTGTGCTTCCTGCGAGCCTTTCCCCTCGGGGCGGAGGCGGGAACGTCTGCTTCTTGGGGGCGTTGAGTGCCCGAATGTGGTCCCGACCGGTCCTAATCCACGTGTGCCAGCCTCTGGCCGCACGGAGTCAGGCTCCCCTGTCGACATTCTGACCCCCTTACTTCACTATCAGCCCTTGCTAAAAGGGCCCAGATGGTTTAAATCACGGTGCTGTCAACAAAGTTTTTGGTTTCAACTAGTTTTGTTGTTTACTACCTTATTTGACAAAACGGGAAAACTTGCTTATTAACCTTAAGGGTGAAAACCTACTTTTGTTGTAGGGATACCTACATTTCTGAACACTGTTCTCATTACTTTTACATTGGTTGTGTGTGTATATATTTCACATTTAGAAAACTGCAATCATTGCAAACCTTTTAAAGGGTATTTTACAGTTTACATGGGAAGAGGCACTCAAATTGTTGAATGAATGGATGTATTATTTCAACTGATTCTCATAACAATGTAATAAGTAAGGTAGGTATTCATGAACCCAACCATTCGTTCTTTGATCCGTGTTCCTGGCACTGGGTCTTCCGGATAAGATGGTGAACAACAGATAGGATCACTGCTCTCGATAAGCTTACTGTCTAGACTAGAGAGAATTATTACAACTGTTGTAGGGTGGAGGAAACAGATTTATAGAGATTGAGTAACTTTGCCAAGGACCACATAATTTATAAATTAGACGGGAACCTGTTATAGCCACCTTAGAAAGCCAGAATGGACCCCCACCCCAAATTTGATTCAGATGTGGAAACTGACGATGGCACACACACACACGATGAGAGTATGAAAACGTCTATTACATAACTGAGGTCTCTGGGGAGAGCAGGGCAGGCCTCTAAAGCAGGACCAAAATGGCTTAAAAGAACAAAAGGAGACTGGCTCCAGGTTTTTAATGTGGTTAGGGGCTGGGGTGAGAGTACCTGTGTGTGGGCAGGACCTTGCTTGGTTTGAATCTCCTGGCCATGACAAAGTAAAGAGCATCTAGGCTTTATGATCAGCTTACCCAGGTGAGGGACAGAAGAGAAAGAGAGAGGGATGAGGCTTAAAAGTTGTCAGCCGGCAAACATTAAAAAATTGAACCAGACTTCTTATTAAAATTCACCCTTGGGCCAGCCCCGTGGCTCACTCGGGAGAGTGCAGCGCTGGTAGCACCAAGGTTGCAGGTTTGGATCCTATATAGGGATGGCCGGTTCACTCACTGGCTGAGCGTGGTGCAGACAGCACCAAGCCGGGGGTTACAATCCCCTTACCAGTCAGAAAAAAAAAAAAAAAAAAATTCACCCTTGATTGACTGATGACCGAAATGTACCATTTTTCATTTAATTGCATTTGAATTTACGGAAGCCATTGTGGCTGTCTGCGAGGCCTGCAGACTGAAACCAGTAAGGAAGGTGAAAGTCCCATTGAAAGCTTTGTTCAAGAGCCCAAAGTTGTATTTTGAGAAATAAAATGAATGCCTTTGTCACTATCAGTAACGTCTGGAACTCTGAAGTGTGTAAGGAATGTCTTGGTGAGGCCTTGTACTATGGCTTTAGTATATGTAGAGATGTGTGACCTTGATTTATATTTTGGTATCTGTGAGACAAGAAAGCCCCAGAGTTCTTTATCTCAAAAGGGGCAACTCTGAGATAATGGCTCAAGAGTCTGTAAAAATGTGCAGATGGAGCCATTTGTTGGCCAGTGCATTCAGTGTAAAGATGACATCCTGAAGTTCAGTCAGTTGTGCTGACCCTTGGGTCTTGTCCTTTATCAGAGACATCCTGGTTAAGGGATGAAAAGCAGGTGGTCTCCAGTGAGCTCCATCATGTGTAATGGTGGTGATGCTGTCTGTAAAGTATACAAACTCCCTTTGCTGTTCATTCAGTTGAACCCTGGTTGCTCCCTAGGTAGACAAGGGGTCTAGGAGAGGGGAGTCCTCTTCCAGCACCATGGCATCTGCCAAGGCAATGAGGATAGGGAAGGCCATGCCCTTCTGCAGGTGGAATATGCTGGAAGGCCCAGATTTGGCTCTGTCCTCTAATAAGGAGGGTGTGGTGGCTGTGCAGAGCTTGCAGGTTGCTGCTCCTGTGACCCAAGACGTAATGGGCAATTGGATATGGAGGGTCGCAGGCTCAGGGCTTGTGAGAGCCTCTATTTCTAGGAGAGCTCAGAATGCTGCCAGCAATTGCTGCTCTAATAGCATGTGGTGTGGACTGAGGTGATAGTTTCTTGTATCAGAAGCCTGTGGACAACTTATGGACATTAGGTGGTTCAGACACTCTTGAGAAGAGGTTGCTAAAGCCTTTATGGTGAAGGATTCTGTGTGTGTGTGTGTGTGAGTGTGTTTTGGGGGTGGGATGAGGGGATAGTACTAAGGGGAGCGTCTGTTGTATTACAATTTGGACAGATTCTAGAACATTTTTTTGGAGGGGGCCACATTCAGGATGGACTGATTTGAAAGGAACAGTATAAAAGGACTTAAGTAAAATTGTAAATGAGAATGATGTTGCCTCCAGAACTGAAAAAGGCCTGAAAGGTATTGGACTTGTTTTAACATTGTGGGTGCTAAGAGGGTCAATAGCTGTTTCTTGACAGTGTCAGGGATGGAGTGGCCCTTGGTTTACCAAATAATTTTCAGAAATTTAACCAAGGTGGCCGACCTTACACCATGTGGGGCAATGGCCCATCTCCCTTTTGTGCACTGCTTTGTGTTTGTATGTCTTGAATAGATGTGTAAAAAGACTGTCCTCAGAGGAGAACATCATCAATGTAATGTTCTACCTGCTCTTCTGGAGAAAACTGGGTGTAATTAAATTAAGACCTTTCCTGTAAAAGTTGTGTACAATGGTAAGGCTGTTGAGGTACTCCATGGGTAGCCTAGTAAGGGTATATTGTGTCCCTCTGGAGGTGAAGGCAAATTGTGGCTGAGAGGTTGTTGAAAGAGGCACTGAACAGAACATATTAGCCAAATCTATAATTGCAAAATATTTATTAGTTGCTGATTGGATACATAGTAATTTCAATAGTATTGGGTATAAGAGCCTTCATGGGTAAGACCACAACATGAAGGATGCAGTAATCAACCATGAGGCACCATTCATTTTTTTCAAGTTTAGCAGGCCCAGTTGGGATGGTAAATGGAGAAGCAGTAGGGATAACCACTCTTTTACTAATTAAGTCTTATGCAGTAAGTGCCAATCCTTGAAGGGCCAACTATTATGTTTCACATTGGGCCGTATTATTTTAACTAGGGGTTGGAGGTGGTGGTCCATATCCACTTTTCAAAAAGCCAATTTGTAAGCTCCAAAGACTTGATTTAATTGATTACTCATTGGGTCAGAGTGTCCATGGCCACTTTGGGATGTTTTAGGGAATGTATACCATGACCATGGAGAATTTAGGCAAGGCAATAATAGCTCTGATGGTTAAGGTGAGACATGCCTATTTTTGTTGTCTATTTTATGTTAAGTAACTCCTCTAAGAATATAGGAAATACCTTGTTTAAATTTAGTGAGATCTCTAAGTATAACTGTAATTTGAACCCTGGTATTGGTTCAACCCATAAAGATTTGCCAAGTGATGCATATTAGCAGATATTGAAGTTAATCCAGAACCTATGCTGTAGAGGTGCAAAAGCCAATCTTTTATCTTTTGATGTATAAATTATTTAAATAAATTTTGTATTTCCAACTAGGTCTAATCAAAGACTTCTTTTTAAATTTTTGTTTGTTTGTTTGTTTGTCTGTTTCCTTCCCCTCTATCCAGGGTTGTTTCTTTCTCTCTTTTTGGAGGTTACTGGATATACTTTGGGTGGAAGAGATCCTCTCTATCCTTTCATATTTACAAATTTCTTCCTCCAGAGAACCTCAAATCGGTATCATTAGGGTTAGAGTTTTCCCCAGTGGCAATGGTTACTTTGTAGTGTTTAAGAACCCAGAATTTAAGTTAGGTTTGACTTACCCCTTTGCCGAACCACAGGGGTGTCATGGTTGCTTTACTGTATATCCCTGAGGACCAGGATCTTCATTACAACAGAAGCATTGGTGGCAGCAGCAGCAACAGCAGAGATATTTAGCAGTCCTGGTGAGCTAAGAAGTGCTCTTATAATGGCTGCTCCCTACACCCTCTTTTCTCTCTTTTTTTAAAAAACTCCCTAATGACTACTCTTTCATGAGCCACCACACAATGGGCCCAAATCTTGCAGAGTGTAATCATTTCCTTGCGCACTCTATAGATTGAGAGCCAATGCCTGGGTGAGACTGTTACAGAAGGGTGTCGCCAAGGAAACTCAGTCACTCAGAGAGGGCGGAGAACAAAGGTTTATTAATCCGGCTGACTCAGGGGGATTAGAATTCCAAAGCCCGAGTCCCGTTTACAGAGGGGACTTAGCTTTTTTTTTTTCTTTTTTTTTTTTTTAAAGATGACTGGTAAGGGGATCTTAACCCTTGACTTGCCGGCTGACTCAGGGGGATTATAATTCCAAAGCCCGAGTCCCGTTTACAGAGGGGACTTAGCTTTTTTTTTTTTCTTTTTTTTTTTTTTAAAGATGACTGGTAAGGGGATCTTAACCCTTGACTTGGTGTTGTCAGCACCACGCTCAGCCAGTGAGCGAACCGGCCATCCCTATATGGGATCCGAACCCAGGGCCTTGGTGTTATCAGCACCGCACTCTCCCGAGTGAGCCACGGGCCGGCCCAAGGGACTTAGCTTTTATACTTTCCTTGGGTAGGTAAGCAGCAAGCATTTCTGTGGGCTTTTTTGCCTGTCTTTAGGCAGAGTCCCCCATATCAGGGGTCTTAAGCAAGTGGTTACTTTGGGTAAGGGACTGATAGCAGCTGGCCCAACCATTTTACAGTTGGGCACAACAACAGGAAGCGTGGTCAAGGAGTGAGACAGTTTCCAAACAGTGGGTACCTGGTTTTGAGTAAGGGTCTTTATCATACCTGGGTGCAAGGGCAGGAAGTGTAGTTACTTGAGGAGTGGTCTGCCTTAGAGAGCAACTCTGTCCTTCATCTACTCAGGAAAGAGCTAGCAGTCTGTGGTTTTTTGCTAACACAAGAACAAGCTTGTGACTACAGAGCTACAGAGTTCAAAAATGCATTTAGCTGTTTAACCCTTAACACACTCCAGATAAAACTTACACACAGCCAAATATTAGTTAACACAATTAAATCAAAGGTAAAAACAAGGATTTAAAGGAGTGGTAAGGACAAGGAATCTAGCCATTACAAGACATCTGATTCATTCATTTTAACTCCATTGTTTGTATAAATCAGAGCTTATTTACTACTTTCTCTAGCAATGGGCAGTGAGGTTTTTTCCACTTAGTATTACAAACATCCTTGACTCCATGTGCACATTAAGTTGCTGGGTTGTAGTATGTGCCCATCTTAGTCCCTACTGGGTGTTGCAAATTGTTCTCTGAAGTGGTTGTACCAAGTGACACTCCCATTACATAGTATTTTTACTGTTTAATTGTTCCTCTAGCAGAGTGAACTTCTGGAGACTAAGGATTTTGTTTTATTCACTTTTGCATCCCTTGTGCCACCTAAATTACCTAACAAACAATAATAGTTGGAAAATATTTGTTGCATGTATAAATGTATGAATTATAGAAGCAAAAACATATTGATTACTGTCTTCTAAAAGTTTAAATATAGACCTTTTAAAATTAATTTATATGTTTGAACATTAACTCTTTTCTTTTTTAAAATGGGCATTTCTCAGTAAGTAATTTAAATTGCTTGATATTTGTTTCTAGGTAAAAAATGAAGGGGATTCAAGCCTTGCCACCGACTTACAGGAGGAAGTAGAGGAAAATCCTAGTACAATTGTGGATGAGAATAATACAGTGTCAGCTAAAAAACAGGGATCAAATTTACATAACTGGAGTGGTGACTGGAGCTTTTGGGTAATATATTTTCTTTTTTATATCTTCATTTTAATCTTGAACGAAAATTTTTTAAGTGTACAGTTATTAATATAGTATTTTCCTATTAGCTTCTCGATTTTAGATGTTTAGGTTTTAGTCGAGTCCTAAATACGTTTCTGATTATGGTATCCTTTGCCCACTAGAATGCGCTGTTGTCTGGTTTGATGGAGTGGAATTATCTGTTTCAGTTTCCTTGTGAGAAGACTACACCACAGAGTCATATTCCACTGACATTGTTGCTCACTCTATTGGCAGGAAACTAACATACAGAAACCACATTTCTAAGTGATACTGAGAAACCAGCTATTTTATATAATTTTGATTTAAAAAATTAGTTCCTGTGCCTAGAGGAAGTTTAACAATGTTTGACCTATAGTGTATAATGACTGTAGGATGGGTTTTAAAGTACATATTCTGTCTGCACTGTGCTTACTTGGTTGTACAACTTGGATATGCTTCAGGTTTCCACAGTGTAAAATAATACTGCTTGCTGATTAGGCATATTGAGATCTTAGTCTTTTTGTAAGAATGATGTTTCTGTTACCATGTCAATGCTAACATTTATTGTATTAAAAGGACTCATTCTGAATCTAGCAATTCCTATTAGAGTTATGAGCCATTTGATAGAATCTGGTATAATATAAATGAAATTTATATAAGATTATAAGTCATGTATAGTTCCAGTATAAGTTTGTTAGAAAGTCGATCTTTTGAAGATTAGGTATAATTGGTAGCATATTTTCTTATAATTTTAGAGTGGACTAAAAAATGATATAATATTAATAGGTTATAAGGATTAGTACAGGTAGCATCATTCTTTTTTTATTATTATTAAGATAAAACTTTTTTTTTTGATTATATCTATTTTGGGGTTTCAACATTGAGATATGTTGATCGAATCAATATTACTAGCATATATATTGTCACAAATTGTAATTATTCTTTATGCCCCTTGTCCAATCCCTCCTCATCCCCCTTCCTCTCCCCCTCCCCCGTCTAATCACCCTAGATTTCTTCTCTCCCTCTGAAAGAATAATGGTTACTTTGTTGATTTGCTGCCCAAATGGTCTGTCCAATGCTGAGAGGTATGATCAGGTCCCCCAATACTATCATACAGCAGATGTCTCTTCCGTCATTATGAAATGGATAGTGGAGATATCCTCCTCCTTTCTTTATCTCTGCTGGTGACTCTCCTTATGTCAACTCACTCCAGTGGCTGGTGGACCATCTGTCCAGTGGTTGTGGCATCTAGCCGCCTTCATGGCAGCCATGGTTATTGTGGTGGCTGTGGTGGGCCACCCACATGGAGGAGATGTTTTCAGCCTGCTTTGTGGTGCTGGCAATGTGCCTGGTTGTGGAAGAGTGTCTGATCCCCAGTTCCATGCCCCAGGTCCCTGAGTGGGTACTGAGGTGCTGGCATGGTGTGCCTGGTTGTGGGATGGGGATCTAGTCCTCTTCTCCATGCCCTGGATCCCCGGGTGGGCCCTGAGGCCCTGGCACAGGGTGCCTGGTTGTGGGAGGGGGCTCCGGTCCCAGGCTCCATACCCCGCGTCCCCAGGTGGGCCCCGAGGTGCTGGCACGGGGTGCCTGGTTGTGGGAGGGAGTCTGGTCCCCTTCTTCATGCCTCAGGTCCATGGGCAGACCTGAGGCACTGGTGCGGTGTGCCTAGTTGTGCGGGGGGGGCCCAGTCCCCTTCTCCAGGCCCCGGGTCCCAGGGCAG